AATTTCAATTGAACATGTTAAGTTTCATTCATAGTGTACAAAAATGCAATTAACCTTTGATTTACACCTCTTCATCATGCTTCAAGTTGTTTGATAGGAAGGTACCACCAAAACTTAAAAGATAATTACTATACAGTAGTGGTTCAATGGACTCTTTTGCATGAGTTGAGTTGTTGGTCAGTTAACAACTCTTATATTTAGGAGATGCAAGTTTCGAAAATGAGGACGGTGAGATGGATGTGTCATGTGTAGGCATATAAAGAGAAATAAGATTAGGAATAGAAATATCTAGGACAAGGTGGGCGTGATCTCCATGGTGTATAAAGATGGATCTTGGGCCTAACTCAATCTCAAAAGCTAGCTCATGAGGTTGTCCAAGTCCATATAAGGAGACCAAATTTTCATCCATTTTCTGATGTGGAAATTCTTAACATGGTAGACAAGATAAAGGAAGCAAGGCTGAGATGATTTAGACATGTGAAGAGGTGATGCACAAAAGCTCTAATGAGGAGTTGTGAGGGGTTGGAAATAGTGGATATGATGAGAGGTAGAAGTAGGCCGAAGAAGTACTATGGAGAGTTGATTAGACATGACATGTCTCATCTTCAACTTACTGACGACATGACCTAAGAGAGGAGGGTATAGAAGTCGTGAATTAGGTAGAAGGTTAGTATATAGTACAACATTGTCTCACTTTTTGCGGGATAAGCTTGGTGTTAATGTGGAGCTCCGTGCTTGTCGTATTACTAACTCTATTCTCGTAGTTAATTTCTTGTTCTTTGATTTTTGTTTCGCATTACCTTGTTAATGTTACTATTCTTTTTCTCTAAATGTTCTCTATGCTGCTTTTCTTATTAGTTGTCATGTTTGCTTCACTGCATGTTTTCTTTTTCATAATTGCTTTAATTTCCTACTCTTGAGCCAAAGGTCCATTAGAAACTATCTCTCTACCTTCACGAGATAGGGGTAACGTCCGCATACATTCTACTATGTTTAGACCCCATTTGTGGAATTAAACTATAGGTGTGTTGTTGATCACGCTTCATCAAGCTAAATAAGAAGATGCAAGTTTTAAAAATGAAGATGTTGAGATGGATGTGTGGGCGCCAAAAGAGATAATATTTGGAATGAAGATATTTGGGACAAGGTGGGAGTGATCTCCATGGTGGAAGAGATGAATGATGCGAGGCTGAGATGACTCAGAGATGTGAAGACGAGAGACACAAATGCTCTAATGAGGAGTTGTGAGGGGTTGGCAATAGTGGATGTGATGAGAGGTAGAAATAGGTCGAAGAAGTACTAGAGAGCGTTGATTAGACATGACATGTCTCATCTTTAGTACTTGACCTAACATAAGAGGGTATAGAAGTCGTAGATTAGGTAAAAGGTTAGTATGTAGTATAACATTGTCTCACTTTTTGCAGGATAAGCTTGGTGGTAGACTAGAGCACCGTGTTTGTCGCATTACTAACTTTATGTGTTCTTTGATTTTTGTTTCGCATTACTGTGTTCATGTTACTATTTTTTTTCTCTGAATGTTCTTATTGCTGCTTTTCTTATTAGTTGTCATGTTTTCTTCAGTGCGTGTTTCTCGTTTTTTCATAATTGCTTTGATTTGCTACTTTCTATCAGAAACTATCTCTCTACCTCCAACGAGGTAGAGGTAAGATCTGCGTACATTCTACTATGTCCAGACCATGCTTGTGGAATTAAACTAGGTATGTTGTTGATCACGCTTCATCAAGCTAAATAAGAAAAAATATTTTGGTTCAGATCATTGACAACTTAGATTAAAATACCACAGATAAAAGTATAATTAGTTGATTTGAATCCTAAAAGTTTCTGGCATTTAACAAGCTTATAAGTTATACTTTCTAAACTTTTGGAACTATGAATATGAAGGACCAATAACATTTGAGGCAGTGGAATACAATGGGAGTTTGCCTACAATGATACTGAATCCTTACTCATGGACAAAAGGTGAGAGTATTTGATACTGAAATTGTACTTTGTAATGTACATAAGGTTTGATCACAATTCAAAATAGTTAAAATAATCATGGAAATTTTAGGTGGCAAGTATTATTTTCATAGATTTACCGGTGGGCGACTGGATTTTCCTTACGCGACAACTCCAGCAGCTCTACAATCATCCGATTTACAAGCGACTGATCATGCATATCAGTTCCTTCACAAGGTAATTATTACTTAGCTTTTTGAACTTCAAAAAGGAATGAACTTTATTAACTATGTACCCTGCTGTAATATGATATTTTTTGCAGTGGTTCGTTGATCATCCAGAATTCTTAAAGAATCCGTTTTATGTTGGTGGAGATTCATATTCAGGCAGGATTGTTCCCTTCCTTGCTCAAATCATAGCAATTAGTAAGACTATATTTGCCCTCCAACAATTGTAGTTACTTTTTTTGGATCATGCTTTGTTGGTTTAGTACTATGCTCTCACATTTTGTTGGCCTTGTGATAATGCAGAGAATGAAATGGAAGTCGAACCATTTATTAATCTTAAGGTTGTCGTTTTTCTTACCAACACAACTCATAATGAAGTTGTTACAACACAAATGGTTAAAGATACGCAAAATGGATGACCTATATTATATATCTTCAAATAATTTCAGGGATATTTACTCGGTAATCCATTGACTTTTGAAGGTGAAGCTAATTATAAGATTCCATTTGCTCATGGAATGGCACTTATTTCTGATGAACTCTATGAGGTAATTGGCTTTTCTTTAGTGTTATATTTTTTACACTGTGATTACATTTATTGGCTTAATTTCTTTTCTGAAACAGTCTTTGAAGTCCCATTGTAAAGGAGAATACCTTAATATAAATCCAAATAATACACTGTGTTTGCAAGATGTTCAAACTTTTAAAGAGGTTAGATTTTATTTGAAGTAAAATTAAATATTATCTACTTGTTTTATTTGGGCATTAGCTGACCTTATATGAATGCAGCTTCTTAAAGGAATTAATGTTCACTATATTTTGGAGCCCAAATGTGTGTTTGCTTCACCAAGGCCATACTTACTGTTTGGCCAAAGAAGATCTCTGGATGAAAAGTGTCGTCAACTTAAATGTCGCGTGAGTATTCATCGTTCCATCTTCAAATGTTATTTACATAGTAATTTCATTCTTTAAGTTATTGATTTCTTGTATCTGTTTATAAACTTGCAATTGCTTTAGCATGATTGGTACAAACTTTCTTATCATTGGGCTGATGATGATCAAGTTAGAGACGCCCTCAACATCCGAAAGGTATGACTTAGGATGTTACACAAAACTTAAGTTATTTTCTTATCGTCAATGCATAGAACGTAAACTCAAACTAACATATTCATTCGGTAACAGGGGACTATTGGAAAATGGGAGAGATGTGCAAGAAATTTGCAATACGAAAAGATGATCTTTAATAGCATACCATATCATGAAAACCTCAGTAGCAAAGTTTACAGATCTCTTATATACAGGTTGAGTTGAAATATTAATTGTGTTAACAATATTTGAATAACTACAAACAGAAATATACCAACTTATTCTCTATGTTTTTTTTTTTTAATTGAGCAGTGGAGATCATGACATGAATGTTACCTTCCTATCAACTCAATCATGGATAAGATCTCTTAACTATTCAATTGTCGATGATTGGCGAGCTTGGACTGTTGACAATCAAGTTGCCGGGTTAGTTCTTGATGAAAGACGTACATTTTAAAATTATCATACGTATATTAGTCATAAACTCTGTCAGTTTATAGATGTTAAACTCTTTTTTTTTTCTTTTTTCGTTTGTTCGATTTCAGTTACACGAGAAGTTATTCAAATCAGATGACATTTGCCACAGTGAAGGCAAGAAAACCTTCTATCAATCTATTTTTTCACTTGGTTAAATTTTTTTGTCAAATTGTTAAAATTGGTTTGTTAATTTTATTATTTAACAGGGAGCAGGGCATACTGCACCAGAGTATAAGCCTCGTGAATGTCTGGCCATGCTCACAAGGTGGATGTCTTACCAGCCTTTGTAATCAACAAATGTATTACAATTGTTTAATCGTGTGAGCTCATTGTCAGTCTCAAGTCCAAATGAATAAAAAGAGGGTTGTCGAGTCAATATGAAACAGTTTTCTCTACCTAATAAAGGTAGGGATAAGACTGCGTACATCTTGTCTTCTCAAGTCCCAGAAATTAAACAAAATTTGTCGTTTGGTCTACATTTTTATTTATTAATTATTATTTTTTATTCATGCACGTCAATGTCCAGTAACCTCGAAATGTTTGACAGAGTGAATTGTATGAATATCATGTTTGTTCTGTGTTACGTTTACGCAATATTATTTTCCCTAATGGATTTAAGTTTTACTTATCATTATATATTACTTATTTTAGGGAAAAAGGATGGATTTACCCCGAACTTTAATAAATGGTACGTCTATGCCCTCCGTTATACTATGTGTCCACATAAGCCCCTGTCGTCCAATTATAGGTACACACATGCCCCTTTCACTAACGGACCCCTCATTTTTTACACGTGTCTTCATCCTAATGAACTATCCGTTTGACCTTTTTTTTTAACCCATAAATCAACTATCCGCCCCATAACCCAATATCCACCCAATTTCCTCTAAAAGGCATCCTAATTCAAAGACCCAAATTAACAGGTCCCGTATCTCACACACAAAACCCTAGCCTAGTTCTTTCGTC